GATCAAGGTGTCAGCAAGGTTGGTTTCACTGAGCGGCTTCCCTCCTTGGCTGTCTTCACGTAGTCTTCTCTTACGTGAGTGGGGTCTCATCTCCTTCTAAGGACGACAGCCGTATTGGATTGGGGTACACCCGTATGACTTCATTTTACCTATGTTACCTCTTTAAAGGCTCTGTCTCCAAATACAGTACATTCTGACTTATGGGGGGGTTAGGATTTCAACTCACCAACTCAAAGGGGCTTAATTGAACATGTATCAGGTAGAGATTATTATACATTTAGTTTCCTTAGGTTAAGCAAGATCAGAAGTGAGAAAAGAGCTCAAGCAGCAGATTTTTATGTTTGTTTAGTTCATTAGTTCTGGCGTAGAAAGTTTATGGTTAGTGGCTCAGTATTAACTGCTGTTTTTGAGACCTTGTGCTCTCTTAGTCTAAAAATACGCACACACCCTCATCTTTCTCAGACTTAAGAGTGATTAACCTGCTATAATTAAGATGTAATCTTTTCAAAATTTCTTTGAACGTAGTAACAGAAGCGCCATGTCCTAGAAGAGCCAATCCTCTGAGATCAAGCATGCAGGAAGTTTCCTGTAAGGGTCCTTATTCCATTACACAAAGGCATGGCACCCCAGGCTTTAAAGGAAAACAGGGTTCTTCCTTCTTTGTAGGCAGAGTCTGATCCCTGGGGAAAGCGTGGGGTTGGTGCAATCTGAAAACTGCAAAAAGCTGAATTTTGCAATGAAAGACATTCTCAAATCAAGCCCTTCCATGGAAAATAACCTCCCCCACCGCAGCCAGCCAGGTTCTTTTCAGTTTGGTTGAAACCATGTGTAGATTTCTGCTAAGAATAAAAACGGTACACGCTCACTGGAACAAAGTGCCTGGGAGAGAAGCCACCGGTGAGTGTGCACTTGCAACAAATATCTGGAGGAACAGAGAGCAGTGAAGAAGGAGGCAGGGCTGAGAAAGGTGAATACAGAAGAGCAGGTGAATTCTCCCCGTGGTATACACGACATGTCAGCAGTTCGAGGTTCTAGGTACTGGGGAGAGACGTGGGATGGAAAACGGGGGACCGCTTCAAACTGGTTTACTACCACTCCAAACCTTGGCAGAAGTCCTCGTCTGGACTTGCATTGGTTCCATTCCACTAGGCTAGGGCCCCGGTGGAGAAGACAGCACGACGGAGAGGCACTGTCCTTACGGTAAGTATATGGGTTAATTCAGATCTGCACAATGAGTGCTGAGCAACCAGAAAACTGGCAGGCAGGTGGATTTCTCTCCAGAGGCACTTAAGGGCCCCAGACAAAAGGCCTAGACATCCTGCGGTCTGGAGGACTTCAGTGAAACAGCAGCCCCTACACCTGTGCTATAATAACAGGGTAGGCCTGCCCATTTCTAATCAGGTTTTAGGGTCTTAAATATACAGAGAACCAAAGATCTCTCCAGCAAAGCTTCAAACGCAAGAGACCAAAGTAAACCAAAGAGCAGATAATAGAAAAGAGACAAAGCAAAGTAAAACAAAACAAAGCAAAATGAACATAAAATACAACATCCCGAGAAGTAAGAGAGAGTTCATCCAAGGCACAAAAAAAAAAGGACACTTCAGTGGAAAGGCTGGCAGAAGATGGAGAGGAAATATGTCTCTCATTTCTGGGCAAAACAAAAAGCCAAAGAAATGAAAATAGAAAACTAGAGGATCGGGGCGCCTGGGTGGCTCAGTCGGTTGAGCGTCCGACTTTGGCTCAGGTCACGATCTCACGGTCCGTGAGTTCGAGCCCCGCGTCGGGCTCTGGGCTGATGGCTCAGAGCCTGGAGCCTGCTTCTGATTCTGTGTCTCCCTCTCTCTCTACCCCTCCCCCGTTCATGCTCTATCTCTGTCTCAAAAAAAATAAACGTTAAAAAAAAAAAAAAAAAAACTAGAGGATCAAACCAGCATTCAAAATGGTAGTTAACAGCAATTCCAAAGAATAAAGAAAACAGGAAAAAAAAAAAAAAAGAGACAGAGACGGAAATGATACAAATGCAACTCTCAGAAGGGAAGAACTGAAATTTTCTAAAACATCTCCAAATGCCCGGCATGAAGGATGGAAAACAGACACACCTCATACACCAATGCACAATGACCTGCAAGGTAAGGCAGCTGGGGATTAAAAAGTGTCCTGTCACCTTCCGGAGGAGCACTGCCCCTGCAAAAGGGCACATATAAAAAAGGGTGGGAACCAGGGTGGTGTAAGGGTTCCATAGCAACCCGAAATCAAAGAAGATATTGACCCACATCCTTAAAATTTTGAGGCAAAATTAATTTCCAACCAAAATTCTATATCCAGCTCAACTAGGCACCCAGGCATGAAAGGGTGTGTAATGAAGACGTTCACTCTCACCTGCGTTCTTTCATGGCAAGTTACTAGAGATTATGCCCAATTCAAGAGGGGCTTAAACAAGAATAAAATGCATGGGATCCTGGAAATGGGCTTTCCATAGGAGAAACAAAGAGACGGCCAGGATGATGATGGTGGTTGTATAGCAGGTCCTCAGGACATCCAGAAAGCCAGTTGCCTCCAGGAGGGGTGTCTCTAAGGGGAAATGGGAATGCTAGTCGGCTCAATGTGTTACAGTGTGGAAACTAATATTGGGAGTCAGGTTAGCACACTCTTGGCAGCAGGTGTCTAAGGATCCAATTCAAAATGGCCTGATGAGTGGGCTTATTGCCTCACGGAACCAGGAGTCCAGTAGCAGGGCATCTCCCAAGGACTCATTTCTCCCACAGATCGACTTTCCATCTTTGGCTCAGCCGTGGTCAGCATGCTGTCTTCCACGGCTGCGATAGCATGCCTGCTCTGAGCGTCCAGTGAGCACATCCGAGGTTGGCTGGCATGAGAGGGACACTTCCTGGGGGCGGGGGGCCTGTGATCTAAGAAACCTTCCCCAGGAACCCCACTTCCAAGGTTCACTGGCCAGCTGCCTTCAATCCACCAGTGACTCAAGGAATAGGCCCCTGGGATTAGTTCACACCAGAGTTCTTTTGGACAAGCCACACCACGAAGTGTTCGCATGGCCCCGCGGAGTGACGGAGGAGGCTGCTAAAACCTCGGCACTTCTAGGACCCACGTGTGGCACAGTGGCACCAAAGCACACCAGTTAGGACACCGGAGCCGTGGGGAAAGGTGGGGACACCTGAGTAATACGGGAGCCTTTCCAGGCTGAAGAAAGGAGGAAGATGGTACCTGCTAGAAACGTTGAAGCAATTCTGATGAGAAGGCTGGGGAAAACCAGGAAGGATGTAGAAAAATAAGCGAATGAAAATGAAGGAAGCAAGTTGATTAACACCAAGAAAACTGAAATGGTATGGGCCACGTAAGGGCAGTTCACTGCTTAATTGTTTACCAACCTAGGGCAGCATCACCACGAAGACCTGAACACGGACTTCTCCAAAATGATGCCGTTCTCCTGGGACGACAGAGAGAAGATGGGGACCAGGGCTGGGGAAAGGTCTCCATCTGTAATGCCCACAACCAACATTTGAAAGGGAACAAATAAGACCCGCAGTAAAAACTCCAAAGCATTGCAAAACGCAGTGGAGCCGAAAAGAAGAGGAAGTGGTTCCTTCCCAGCTGGGCAAAAGCAGGGGTGTGGAGGAGCGGGCAGAGGAACACAGGCTGCGTTGGCCCCACTCTACTCTAATTTTACATGTTTGTTTAGTCTCGTAGACAGAACAGTAGCGATGTTTTCCTCCTCTTGGTGAACACGCCCTTTCCGTGGACAACACAAGCTCCCAGTGTGTTCGGTCAAACAGAAGCAAGCTCTGCTGTTGGCTTTTCTGGATTTACCTCCTCACCTCAATCCCCCACCACCCTGAGACCCGGCGGGGGTTGGGGAGAGGACCCCCAAGTTACAGGCATGGGCTCTCAGGCTCCAGGGCCAGGTCTCCCTGTTCCTGACAGGTGGGATGCTGGTATCCTGAGGGGGTGCGGTGGGGGGCAGTGCTGGACCACCACAGTCCGGCCAGGTAAGGCACAGCAACTGCGCAGCAGGTGTCCTGCAGTGACAGACCCCAGGGCGTGTCCGGACAGGCTACTGAGAGAAAGCTTTGGGGCTCGGTGTCCATGGTGACGACGAGTCTACCAACCCTTCAACTTTGTTGCTGAACGCCAAGCACAGTTTTAAAGTTCAAACAACCTACCAGCGCCTAAATTTAAATTTCTGCACTGTTCACAAATTTGCATTGCCTTTCTTCTAACTCGAACCCTGTCAAGTCTTCAGCTGCTTAAGGCAAAGTCCTAAGGAAAAATGCCTGATCACAGGGAGCTATTTACTGGGAAGGCGCGGCTCCCAAGATAGGGAGACTTTCCCGGTGACCTTGACCTTCACCCAGCCCCCACTGTGACCCCCTCATTCTTGTAGCACATTTCCTCTCAGGAGCCTGAACTTACCTGAATGCCTGGCCAACAAAATCTAATCGAAACCCAATCCCCAAAGCAGCAGGGAATGTGGCGGCTGCTGTCGCCTCAGGCCATCCTGTCTCTGGGTCGTAAGGCTTCCTGAAGTGCCTGCAGAACGCTTAATTTTCACCTCACTGCTCCCAACAGACTCCCCAGGGCTCCCTTTTTCTACACCCTGACTTCCTTCAAGGTCCCCAAGTGCCACCCCCTCCCTGAAGCCCTCTCAGACCACTGCTCAAGGAGACCTCTTCTCCCTTGAATCAACTCTTGCTTCTACTTGGGATGTATCTGGTTGGTCCCCCTGTATACGATGGTTAAGCCTTTTATGTCATGGCCTCGTGTGATTTGCTCAGCACTCCAAAGACAGAAGACTTGGCTGGGATTAAAAAAAAAAAAAAAAAAGACCATTTTTAGAAAACTTGTTTATAAATAGACTCTTATACAAAGAAGAAGCACATATACAGAGCACCCAGACTCCCAGGAAGGCGGCCCCTGGCCCTTCGTTCCCGCTCTGGGAAAAGAGAACAGGAAAGAAGATTCCATCTTGTTCTTAACTGTCTCCACTATGCGGCCAGTTTTTCAAGCAGCGTTTCTATTCCTTTGCTGGCATTTTTGTTTTTCTCCAATGTGGGAATGAGGCCTTTGAGTCCAGCCTTGACTTTGTTTGCAACTTCTTGATCGGAGCTCTGGAGAAGGCTGAGGAGACAACAATCAACCAATAAAAAAATGACATTTCATAAAAACCCCTAACCATCTGCCAATACTATCTCCACCCAAGGTAGAAAAAGTTCACCGATTTGTGAGACAAGCCTGACAATCATAAACACATCTTTTTAATTCACCAGATGAATGAGGGGAGCTGGGAGCCTATATTCTGAGAGCACATAAATAGAAAACGTTTTATAATCTTGCTGGCAGATCACACGGAACTCCGTTCCATACAGAATGGGTCTTACGTTCGCTGGTTATCTTAGGACTAACACCCGGTCTTAAAAATGTGTTTACTGCATGGATTCTAGCCCCTCTTTCCTACCCAGATGAAACTCAAGAACAGAAACCTTGTGTTTTACTTCTCTATTTCACGGTACCATGGGGCACACAGATGACCGAGAAGACTTCCCTGAGTGACCGCGTAGCACCAGTGACCAGGGGCCACGCAGGAAAGGTGGAGGGCCCGAGAGGGAAGCAGCTAAGAGCCTTCCTTCTAAACTCCGTGGCTAAAACATCCAAAAGGGTGAGGAGCTTAAGGGCCTAGATTTGAAACCTCCCTCAGCCACTCGGTAACTGTACCCACCAGAGCGTGCTATTTAAAATGTCTGTTTCCTGACCTAGAGACGGGATCAACACCAAGAGCCACCCCCTACCAGAGAGATTTCTTGAGGCTCAAATGATCACAAATGGGAGGCACCTCGCCAGGGCACGGCACTTAGCGAGTACTTCATGAACGGGAGCCACTAAAACAAACCAGTCAGCTCTGCTTCCTGGAAGCCTGCTGGAGCCCTATCCCCACAAGGGAACGGAGTCCCAGAGGCTGCTACCAAGAGCCCGCGAGACCCCTTTCTCTTTAAATAGGGGCTGGGGCACAGGCACCCGACTGTAGAAGACCAGGGCTCCCCCCTTCTGCACGACCACATTTAATGCTGACCTCAGAAACACATCCTAGAAACAAACCACTTGGCATTTCCCCAAGTCCCTGGTCCTGATAACTTGCGGCACGTCCACAAAGAGGACGGTTAGGTCAGCAGCACCGAGCAGCACTCTGCCGTTGGCGGGGGACAAGGCCCAGCTTGCCACTTGCAAAGGTGCGAAGTAAAGTGCCCTTTTAACAGATTCGTGACTCACCGGGTAGTTTCTGGCTAAGCACGCACTCACATAACGCGTGGACGTAATAAAAGTATTTCCTGAACACACGCGCTGGACGTAAAGCTAAGAATTTTACATACACCATCTCCTACAGTTTGCAGAACAGCCTATGATTATTACTAATCTAATTTTACAACCAAGAAAATGAAGGTCCACAGAAGCTGAGTGATTTGCCCAAGACCGCACAGTGAGCTGGGATCGAAACCCAGGCAGGGTGTCTAGAACCCACGATGATCTAAGTGCTAGAGGATTCTGCTGCCCCGAGTCGTTTTTCAGATAGCCGACAAGGCTGATACTCTTTCTCACCAAGGTTGCCTTTTCACTTACTGTAAAAAAGATCTAGGGAATACTGCACAAGTTTGAAGTAAAATACACGAGCAGAGAATTTTACCAAACAAGTCAAGCACATGACTGTTCTAAACCCATTAAAACTGATTATTGTATTAATTATTAGGTTATATGTAGTTCAGCACCCCTTCACAACCTCAAATATCTTACATGCCAATGTTCCAAAATAAATCTGTAGTATCCTTCTAATGTTTGAAATCCACCCAAGAGCAGCTTTGATTGATGAGCAATCTTTACAAATTAATTTCATGGCATGGTTGAAATTTTTAGTTAATTGAGCGTTAATGAAAGAATATGTCAGTAGGTGTTAACACTCCAAACGCTTGGTAAAGAAACTCATATTAAAAAAGTTCATGTTTCGGCTAATGGATTCTGGCTGTTCAACTTCAACTGGAAAATGAACTCATTTTCATAAGAAATGAACAAAATGAACCGCACCACCCATATATTTGGAGATCCTGAGCTACCTGAAGTAACGGATGTCTGTATGGACCGTGTTTATGGGTATATGTGTACCAAAATCAAATTGTAGACCGAAGAAAGACTTCTAACTTTTACAAACAAAACAGATCAGATCAAATTACACAGCATGCTGCATGTGACATACTGTGGGAAATTCAAACATATCCCCTTTTCCAAAACTCGGTAACACAGCAGGGAAAAAAAAAAAATCAGCAGTGATTACTTCACAATAACAAACAAATCTATTTTAAATGAATGCTGTTAATAGAAGGGTTTCACATACAGGAACAGAACGTACGTAAGTTTCAATGACCTGTTAATTATAAACTCCAAGTAACTCTGGAGAACAACAGACAAGATGAGCACATGCCTCAATTCACAAATCATCAGTATTCTATCATTTTAATTAGAAATAAACAATTAGCATGCAGACTTCAGTAGCAAATGCTCCCAGAATCCTTTTAAGAATACTGGAAAGTAAGAAAAATGACACGTAAAGTCAGGCATGATTTAAAAAGCAACTTTGTCAGTTTTCACAGGGACAAGACTAATTCGTTAAAAAGAATGCAATTACAATTTTGGTCAAAACCATAAATGTGAAACAATCAAATGATACACTGTGTGATCTCTTATTTACACGTGGAGTCTAATTTAAAACAAAAAGAAAAGCAAAACAAAACAAAACCCAGCTCATAAATACAGAGAACAGATAGGTGGCTGCCAGAGGCAGGAAGGGTGTGTGAGAGGGGGAGACTGTGCATATGCACGAGGAGGGTCAAAAGGCAAAATGTCCAGGGGTTGCCAACACAGCCTTCCAGGAACAAGGACCAGGTGAGGAGATGTGACACTGGCCGGACTGATGGCTTATTACTTCGGAACGTACGGTTTAAGCCCAACCAACGCGAAATGCCAAAAGGTGAACGAGTTGCTACAGATCCCTTTTTTTTTTTTTGAGATCTATAACTCCCAATGGCCGTAATAATGTTCCAGAAAACGTGTATACTGGGCAAATCCTATGAATTACATAATTTATAATAATCGGGTGTCGGAGGGCTCCATAACCTGGGGAGAAAAGAAGGTCGTGTAAGTGACCCCTACACGTTAATCAGACGTAAAGCGCTTTCCTGAGTGGAGCGAGGGAGCAAGAGAGAGAATCCAATTCTATTTTGGTCACAGCCGTAAAATAAACTTTTAAGAACCGACTGAAAGAGTTACGTCTGGCCTCTGCTATTTGCTGTGCCCGTCTGCACCCCGAGGGACCGGGAGCGATGGCCAGCGATCGGACACCAAGGATAGACCCAAGGAAGAACGTGGAGGAAGGGGCTTCTGCGCCAACAGGCAGGAGGAGGGGCCTGTGCGGCCAAGGCACACACGTACGTACCTAGCAAGAATAATGGCACCTCGGTTTACACTGGCCCAGGACCTCAGGTTCTTCACACCAACATGCTCTACAAGTGTTTTTGCGAAACAACCTGAAAAATTGAAAAATACACTGAAGCTTAGTGAACATCACACCAAGATTTAAACTCCCAATCTACTTCTCTACTGCCCTTAAATCTACAAATATTCTAATAAAAAAGTGAATAAAGAGAGTTCTGACTCAATCTTCCTTAATACTAAAAATTCCAGCTCTGATTTATTTGATGTGTGTTTTTAAATTTTTTTGTTTATTTCTCGGAGAGAGAGAGAGAGAGAGAGAGAGAGAGAGAGAGAAACAGAGAGATAGAGTGAGTCAGAGTGCGAGTGGGGGAGGGGCAGACAGAGGAGACACAGAATCCGAAGCAGGCTCCAGGCTCCGAGCTGTCAGCACAGAGCGTGATGTGGGTGGGGCTCAAACCCACAAACTGTGAGATCATGACTTGAGCTGGAGTCTGGCGCTTAACCGACTGAGCCACCCAGGTGCCCCTCATTTTTATTTTAAAAAGCCATTAATGTCCTACAATTCTCTTTTACAAAATGTTTTATTTATTTTTGAGAGAGACAGAGTGCAGGGGTGGTGGAGAGAGAGGGAGACACAGAATGGGAAGCAGGCTCCAGGCTCCGAGCTGTCCACACAGAGCCTGACTCCGGGCTTGAACTCTCGAGCCGCAAGATCACGACCTGAGCCGAAGTTGGACGCTCCACCGACGGAGCCACCCAGGCGCCCGTTTAATGTGTTTCCAATACAGCCATTTCCTTCTACTCTGATCCAGGTTTTAGACTTTGTTTAGAAATAATTACTCAGGACAAACAATGAATTCTTATAAAATGAGCACTTGGTCGTGCTTGCATCTCTTTGTACTATTTAATGATTTAACCCTGACCTGAAAGGCATTCAGGAAGTGAACGTTTGACAGCAACACCTCGTGCTTGGATGAGAGCAAGTTCTCCCTCGTGAAAAATGCTCACTCAGGAGGTGACTAGTGGTCACGTGACTATTGTGATTGACACCTGATAATTTCTGTCTACAAAGCTAGCCATTCACCCGTCAAAAATGTTACTCATCTTGTGTTATTAGCTTGCTTGTCATTATCAGATTCCCAAGGGCTTGGTATATTATCTTATTCACCGTGCGATGGAAGTGTATGTAACTAATTCTTGGACAAAGCAGAAATTCTGAAAGCTAGGGTTGGGTACAGATGGAAGTGAAGGCAAACCTATCTTGAAGGTAAGTATCTTGGGTGGCTGCATATATAATTCACTCAGAAGATACTCAAATGTGAGGACCCTTTAAAAGCCAAGAGGCCTAGGGTCATTTAGCTCTTCACGGCAAAGGTCGAAGGACAGCAATCGGCCAGTGAGGCAGATGGTGTTTTCCAAAGGTGACTGACCACGACAGTATCCCTGTCCTGTGTGCTGTTCTAGAATGCTGCACGCGCCCACCCCCACCCGGAGCTGGAATCAATGTCTTCTTTTGAACCCTGGTGGGCCTGTGACGGACTTAACCAAGAGAGAAGGGAAAGAGCGATGTTAAGTAACTTCTATGGCTAAATCATAAAAGCACCACGCACCTGCTTTCTTCTCTTAGAGCCCACCCACCATGTTGTGAGGAAGCCCAAGCAGCCTGGCGGAATGGCACGAGGCTGCTGGACTTGGCCACCGCCAGCCATCGCCCAAGTGCAGAGATACTCCGACCCTAAGCCGAGCTGCCCCAGGTGACAGTGAAGAGAACAAAACCAAACCCCGATCAGATGTTGTCTGAGAACTACCAAGTTTTGGGGTGGCTTGTTACACGGCGACAGAGGACCAAGACAGCCAGCCACGCCCATTCGGAGCTCCGTGAATGTGAGGAACACGGCAGGTCCACACAAGCATGTTATAAGGCTGCCAGTGTAACCGAATTAGGGACAAAAGTCACTTGAAAATTCTTTGGATTTTAAAAGCAAACCAGACAACTTTTCTGACATAAACTCAGCTCAACAGAGCACTGAATTCTTAATAATGAAAAAGATGATTCAATACATTATTTTCCCTTCAAACTGTGTTACAAGCTGTCTCCTTTACGGGAAGCGTGCAATGAAAAACAGCCCCAAGTCTCTGATCTTCAAGGGAGAGTGAGAAGTGACAACTGTACTACTGTACTGATCGCCCCACTAGCCATCAGGCTGCAACTTGCCTCAAGACAGAAATTCATGATCTGTCGCTTTGTCCAGACACAATGAGGGTTTGGGAAAGCCCTTCAGTGGCTACAATACTGGATGGAGCTCGAACTTAGTAACAGAAGGTCTGGTCAAAGACAGGACCGAGACAGGAATGGGATGCCACTTTTCAGGTGGATAAAAGATGCTGTCCTTCTCTTGAAAGCTGACTTTCTGCAGAGCAGCAAGCGGCCAAGCACTGGCTTGCTCTTTGGTCATATGTATTTTCAATGCCAAACAGGCATTAGCTCAAAATTCTGAGGGGGATAGTTTTCTTCTGCTTATCCTTTCCTCCAAAGTAGAGATAAATACACTTTTCAGCTGGGGGTAGTGACACTCACAAATCTTCCCCCCCTTCCCGCCCCCACCCCCTCAAGGAACAGAATGGCATTTTAGGGCTCTGGCCAGCCAGATCCAAAGCCTGAAGTAGCGAGGGAGGTGAGACAGTGAGGGAGGGTGGACAGAGAAAGGAAATTAAAGGATTATGGGACATAAATTTCCAACATCTACTAGAGCATTATTTGCAACCCCTAAATTACTTCTTGTTCATAGACATCATTTGTAAACACTCAGCAAGTTTCACTTGAACATAAATGACGGGCATACAGTTAGGGTCAGGAATTACTGAAATTCCACATGAGATACAGGAAAAGGTCAAGTTTCACAGCCTACCTTCTCTTCCACTTTCCTTCATCTTCTTATCTTGTTCTATTAACCACTTCAGAACGAGATGTCCCGCAGGATGCTCTGCGACGTGAAGCTGTAAGGGGGCAAGAAGGCAGGGACTTAAACAGAAGTCTTCAGCCACGCCTTGGCCGACAGTCCATTCTCTATCACCGCACACAGGTGAGGACTCAGACGAGTTGGAAGTTCGACAACACTCAGGAGGGAGGTCATGATCAGGAGTGGCCCTGAACGCCTGGAGGGACCAGAGATCTGGCCCAATCCCCAGACTGAGAGGAAGAGGGACACCGCGGCCAGAGCCACTAACAGGCACTTCAGGCGCGGCCTCATGACCTCCACGCTGAATAGCACCACATGGCGCTCGTCCCAACGTCCTGCCAACCACTGTTCAGGCTGCAATAGGCAGTTCTGAGTGCAAATGAACCTGTGGGACGAAGTGTGACAGCAGAAACACTGACACTTGGTCCCCACGGGTCCCACAGCACCTAGGATCTCTCCTTATCAAGCAGAGACAACAGGCTCCATCCCTTACAGAGAAAACTCATCACGCCTACATCCTCCTGGCTGGTTTCTACGCTCTGCCCTGTGAGGGGAGGGTGCAGACCCAGGGCCCGCAGCAGGAAATAGTAGACTCCCCAACACACAGGCCCTGCCCGGTCTGACCTCTGCCTCTTCTTCCCTCTGCCGGCTGACCTCCCCTGAGCCCTCTGTCCCCAAATGAGCCGAGACCCTTCCCTCCTTCCAACTGCGGCCCATGTTCCTCCCTCTGCCTTTCTTCACTGAGCTACGATCCTCCAGCCTCAGTGTAACCTTCACTGCCTCGGGGAAGCCTTCCTGGGGACAGGCTGGCTCCCATTCTTATACGGCCCCAGAGAACACGTACGTGTCCTTTACAGCAGGTATCTCCATCCTCTAGTGGGTAATTATCTGGGTACGTATTCGTCTCTATGTTGTGTTCAGCAAAACAGTAAGCTTTGGGGGATGGGGGAACAGGGCAGACCACCGCCCAACACAGATGAGGCATGTGGATCAAGGAACTTAAGAGGTAAGGCAGAAGGAGTCCCGGGCCAAGGCAGGCAGGCAGGGGAGCTATCAGAAAGAGCGGACTTTTTTAATGGGAGGGAACTTGGGAAGACTTCAAGGAGAGGGACTCTGGGCAACTTCTAGGATGAGTGAGGCTTTCTATAGGGACAGCACGGCAAAATGGGGACACAGGTGGCATCCAGGGTGAGGAAAGAGGCGCATGTGAATGCAGAGAGGTGCAAGAATCCACAGTGAATTCAAAACAGAGAGAACACAGCAAAAGCTAGGAAGGCAGCCTGGTGCCAACCACGCGCCACAGAGAGCCGCGTTAAGACGACGGTCTCGACTCTGTGGGTAAGAGGAAGTCACGGGAAGCTCTGAGAAGGACAGCCCTGCAGCGGCACCGTGTTCCGAATCCGCAGGATCAGATGTGCTGCGGGTTCGGGCTGAGGGGAGGCAGTCAGCATCGGAGTTCTCTTCGAGCCCTGATCTCGGTGGCCGGCGTCTGTGCGACGCTGCAGCTTTCCGCACATCTCGCGACAGCACGTTACCTCTCCGTCCTGGCCGCCCGGGTGCAACTCTGTGGCCGCCAAGCCGGCGATGGCGCTCATGGCGGGCTGGACGTCTCCCGTGGCAGCTCCCAGAATGCCGGGCACCAACACACACGCAGACTTATCCAGCACCACTTCGCGGGCGTGTCCTTGCAGGTAGCTTAACAAAGCCGGAGAGATGGCCTCCAGGAGCTCTCGCCGGCGGATGGCTGTGTCCTTCTTACTGTAGGAGCGTGGCGAACGAGGCACTCGGGTGAGATGAGTGGCGAAGGAAAGACAGTGGTCTTATCACCACAAAAACCTCTACGGGCTTTAAACAATCTGCGTCAGGGGCGCCTGGGTGGCTCAGTCGGTTAAGCATCCGACTTCGGCCCAGATCATGATCTCGCGGTTCGCGGG